ATTGATCTTAAATGTTTTGGTTATTAAATGTTATAAAATATAAAAAATATAATGTAAAAATACTTTTTATAAATAAACCCTAATATACACTCACCGTCACGAAAAACGGGCACCTTAAAATATTGATGTATTTTAAAGTTTAATATACCGGGTGCGTCTCAAAAGTGGCTCACCCCTATAACTTTTTTATTTTTTTAGATAAAAAACGATATTTGGTATATCAGTATAATAATAATAATAATAGCTCCCGTATATAGCGTTTAACGCCTTGGGAGTAGCAAGGTACAGCTTACCATGCTAGAGCCGTTCGGTATACAAAGAAGGTAATGTGGCTTCGACCACCTATTATTACTTCAGGATTGTGAATCCCAAGTACTCATTTAAGACTGAGTCGACCTAGGTACCCAAACTATTTTTATTTTAATAAAAATAGTCGGCTGATGAAATGCCGGGTGTAGGATTCGAACCCACTACCTTGAGATTGGTAGACGAGAGCCTGTACCTCTACGCCACTGACAATGGTATGTCAGTATATGACATAAATTAGGATTGATTGACGTATTCAATTGTTTTTGGTCACTTCCTGTTTCATCGGAAATTGCTACAATTTTTGATTTTTAAATGGCACCCTCGGTATTTTCTTACTTTATTCGATAGAAAATGATATTCTAAATAGAATGACGTATCATATGTCAACTTTTGATTTTTAAATGGCACCCTCGGTATTTTTTTACTTTATTTGATAGAAAATAACTCTGAATAGAATGACACATTGTATGTCAACTTTTGACATTTTTGCATATGGTTTATTTGAAATTATAACTTGCGGTTCGTAACGAAAATTTGACTCGACATACCAAGTGTTTGGTATCAAATTATTCGTAAAAAAAATGCTTTTTCCAAATATGCTAATGAGCCGCCCTCTTTCCATTTGAAAAAAATGAAAAAAATAAGATATAATTAAAAACACGATTTGAGCATTTTCTAACTGGCCAGGACAAGACACTAAAACCACAGTTTAAAGAATATAAATATATCAGTTGGCACACTCTTGGCCCGTATCAAAATTCCTCCCGCCGCGCCCCGCCTGTCTTGTAGACTTGGGCCAGTCTACATCCGTTGCTCGACGTATACACAGCGTTCCAAGTTTATTTAAGTTTTGTTTTCGATCCGACGCATAGGGTGAACCAAAAATATTGTTGTTTTCTTCGAATTGTGAATAAAATGTCTACTAGAAATATTTGTGCAGTGGATGGTTGTGAAAGTAGAGTGGCAGACAATATATCGTTCTTTAGGTGCCCAAAAGATGAAGGAAGGTATATGTTTATATAGTATAGGATATTAACTCGGATATTAAGTATATAATAATTAAAGTATTAGACATATTAAGTATATTATAATTATGGAAACCCAACTATGAATAAATTGTTTTAAAAATATACATATAAATTAAGGAAAGATTTTACTCGAAATATGCACAAAATATTTATTTTTAACAATAATTAGTTTATTATTTTAGTAGATATTTTAGAGTAGTAGTCTACTATTATGTTTTGAATTTTCCAGTATTTACCGGTTGGCAAAGTGCATATTAAATTATTTATTTTTTAAGATATTTGCATTTTTTTAAATAGCATGTTTTGTTTTTTAGATGTTTGTATTAAACTTTATCTGCCTCTCTGGAAAGTCCGAATTTTATCGTCAGGTAATAAAAATACGTGCATACAACTTGTTCTGTTATTGATAAGTTTTTTAGAGTTTTTACTAAATTTTATGTAACAATAAATATAACAATTGACGAGCACATGGGAAAAACGATGAGTATCCAGAAATGATAAATGTTCAGGAAAGCGTTTTTTTAATTCAAATTATGCATGGACTTTTATATCGTGTTTCCCATTTTTAAATGCCTGTTTCTATGTGGCCGTTATCGATATTCCCGTTTATTTAGGTACCAAAAGGTGTAGCTTTTTGGAACTTTCACTGTTTCCCCTTCAATTAGTAGTAAATATTGTAATAAATTAAATTTGCATATTTCTTAAGTTATAGCATGTTTTGCTTTTTAGCTGTTTGCATTTAACTTGAAAACGATTGAAAATTTTTAATAATTAATTAAAAAATTTAACTTGAAAACGATTGAAAAAGTACTTGGATACAACTTGTCTTGCCATTGTCAATTTTTTTTTCAGTTTTTACTAAATTTTATCAAACATTAAAATTTATTACACAATTAACTACTAACAGTTATAATTACTGTTCATGATAATCATAAAATTTAGAAAAAATTCCAAAAAAATTGACGATGGCAACGCAAGTTGTATGCAAAGGTACTTTTAATACCTTACGATAAAATTTTGGCTTTCCAGGTAGGTAATTAAAGTAAAATGCAAACATCTATAAAGCAAAACATGCTATAATTTAAGAAATATGCAAATATATTATTATATATTATATTAAAAAAATTAACTTATTATATTTATTTAGAATACATTTTTCATATGGGGTTTCCATAAAACACAGATATGAAAATTATACACCAGAACAATATCATAACCATAATAGAATTTGCGGTTAAGTTGCTGTAATAACGTTAATGTTTGTGCTGTTCCTACATACACACCGCTTAGGGTCTTCACTAACGATTATATTAATTTAAAAAGTCCTGAAGGAAATGCCTTAGTACGTAACAGGTATCTCTTAAAAAAATGTATAACACGTCACTCTTGCGATGTATGTGTTAATTTTGTTAATAATACGGATACACTTTTTAATCGTATTTATCGAGTATCACACTCATATCGTATATGTAAACAATGAGATATGTTATTAAATAATAAGAAGAAGAAAGTAAATAAATATTGATCAATTATTAAAGACGCCTAAAACTGTTAATCAATAAAACTACTACTGTATTTATTTTTCTACTTGCTATATTAAAATTCCTTAGTATTTTTAGTTGATCCCTCGTATACGGTCAGCGTTCTGACTGATAAAATAGCACTTCCGCTGCACCCGGTAAAAGTACAAATTTTTTGTCACCTCGAAGGGTCACTGGCCGCCTTTGAAGTCAAAATAACAATAGAATTCCTTAGAGTGAGCCAACTGTAAATGTATATATTCTTTAAACTGTGCTAAAACCATTAGACGATTAAAGGTTGTCGCCCACTAGACCGCGGCGCCACGCGGCGCGGCGCCATGTGGAAATTTCTTTTGTCTGCTTGCCATGTATTTAAATGTACCAACGCACATTAGAGCGCGCAGCGCAGAAGCGCGCCGCGGGATTTCCGTCAAGAAGTCGGAAGACTTCTCTAGCAACTTTTTTCCGTCTCCCGCGTTTCGGCGCGTTGCAGTGTGCGTACTCACAAGGGAAATAATTTTGCATTCGAGTCTTTTCAGTTGGCTTTTTGACTAGGAACTAGTGATATGTATCAATGGCAGAATTGTATTTTTAAAGGTAAATTAGGCAAATCGATTTTCATAAAGGAATATGATATTTTTTTTAGTCTTCCCTCACTAGAGACAGATGGACGAAATGCCTTTCTATCAAAGATTTAATATAATTGAGGGGTGTAGAGGCAAAACTGGCAATCTCCACTTTTTAACAAAAGTGACAATCTCCAATTTTTAAATTCTAATTACCTAAATATATAAAAAAGATCAGGGTTTTTTTGACCACATAACTAATATACACATCAGAATAAATAAGAATTATCAAAAATATTAGTAATTTGTCTCTTCTGAAAAAATATGATGAGTAGATATACCCGGTGTTTTTTCTTCTAAAACCCTCAATTGAGGAGTGCGTAAAATGTTTCCTTTATATTTTGTAATACTGAAAAACATTATTTTGTCTTTTATTAAATCTGGAAAAAGATGATAAAATTCTCCAAACTTCTTTCTTTTTTTGTTAATCGTATGAGTCCAAACTTTTCCTCACCCACTCTTCCTCTTCCTCTGTTAGAAGAGAACAAAAAATATGCTTTCGTCCGTACTTGAACTCATTGCTTTAAAAACTAAACTACAGTAAGTAAAAAACACTTCGACTATAACTAAATAGCGTTGCCGCGTTTCAAAAGTGCGCTATAGTGGGCGCAGTCCCTTCGCAGCCGGAAAAGATTCTCTTCCCAGCGCCGCGCCGCGCCGTGGTCTAGTGGGCGACAACCTTAAATCTATTTTTCCAAGGCTCCTTGATCAAGAATTAGTGTTTTTAACAGCCAGGCCACTCTAGATTGAATTTTAAAATACGATTTTTAATAAGCGAGAATGTCAAAAGTTTACATACGAGTTGATATATGATATGTTTCCTTTCATATGTTTCTATTCAGAATGTCATTTTCTATCAAATAAAGTAAAAAAATACCGAGGGTGCCATTTAAAAATCAAAAGTTGTAGTCATTTCCGGTGAAGCAGGAAGTGACCAAAAACAATTGAATACGTCAATCAATCCTAATTTATGTCATATACTAACATACCAAATCTCGTTTTTTTATCTGAAAAAATAAAAAAGTTATAGGGGGTGAGCCACTTTTGAGACGCACCTGGTATTTTGTTCTAGTGTGCCGATTTTGATGATTTTTTAAGCAATTTGTAGCTAAATTATTTGACTTTTTAGTAACTCTTTCTAAATTAAAAATAAAATTTCCATCTGTCAATTATACGGAGGAAAACAAAATGTTGATATCATGGTGAAAGATTGATACACGATATACAGGGTGGTCCGAACTGTATTCCGGAAACTTCGGCAGCATATTCTGCAGATAAAAATAAGTAAAAAAGTTCGTATAAATGTATGTCCTAAAATTCTTAGTATCGGAGATACAGGGTGTAGAAATTTCATTTTTATTTCGATTTTTTCCAAATAATTTCTGAACTAAAGTCAATATTTGGATGAAACTTGCCGGACCCTGTATAAAACTTTAAAATACATGAAAATTTTAAGGTGGCCGTTTTTCGTGCCGGTGAGTGTATATTAACCGCAAACGACAAACAAAATAACCTACCACCTTAAACGGCCCTTTCTTCGTCAATATATACCGTTTTTCGTCGATGGCGTATCTGGCGCATTCCTTGTGATCTTGGTCATTTTCCAAGATGACGGTGTCTATACCGCATCTTCTCAGGTTTTTTCCCAAGCCTTGTAACATTGTGTCGCACACAACTTTGATTTCGTGAGCCTAAAATGTGAAAAAAACTAAATGACTTTAAAAATATTTGCAAAAATATCTGATGTTTTTTAAAAGTGGCCAATCCCTATAACTTTTTTATTTTTTCAGATAAAAAACGGGATTTGGTATTAGTTAGGCTAGGTCGGTCTAAACGTAGCCTTTCGGTCACTTTCTGTTTTATCGGAAATGACTACAATATTTTTAAATGGCACCCTCGGTATATTTTTATTTTATAGAAAATAATATTCTGAATAGAATGACATGTTCTACATCAACTTTTAACATTTTTCCTTAAAAAAATTGTATTTTAAATTTCAATCTAGTGTTACGACAATAAATATAACGACAATTTGACTTAAAATAACAAGTTTGTGGTGTCAAATGATTGGTAAAAAAATGATTTTTCCAAATATGTCAATGAGCAACACGTCGCGCCGGTTTGAAAAAATTGAGTTATGATTACATACGTACTGCCGTTACTCGAGTATTTGACACGCATCAGAAGTTGGTCACGCAAGGCGTTTTCTTTCATGAGTTTTTCTGTGATTGAAAAGCCCGATACGTGATGTTATGAAGAGTTATAAGATATGCTTAGAGTTATGATTATAAATATGATTTTGGTCATCTTTTAATAGGCCAGGAAAAGAGACGAAGAACATTAGATAATCAAATTTATTTATCTCCTTGATTAAAAGCACTAATTTTTAATCAGTATTATTTTTTAACTAAGTGTCAAAAATTGACATAGGACATGTAATTCTATTCAGAATGTAATTTTATATGAGATAAAGTAAAAAAAATACCGAGAGTGCCATTTAAAAATCAAAAGTTGTAGATATTTCTGGTGAAACGGAAAGTCACCGAAAATAATTAAATACGTCAATCAATCCCGATTTATGTCATGTACATACCAAATCGAGGGTCACAGTGCAGTACCTTGTAATCATTTTTGATACAACTTTCCAGGAAATCCCAAAATATACCTAATTTTACATTAAATTATTTTTTTAATGAATTATCTTATAGAGCCGAAATATGCTTTATTATCAATGCTTTATTACCAAATAAAATATTTTGAATTATTTTTGTGAGAGTATTGCAATTTTTTTTTAAATAATAATATAATTTATTAAATAATAATATAATTTATTAAATAAAAGCATACGAGGTCCTGCCTTGTGACCCTCGAAATCTCATTTACTAACTGAAAAAATAAAAAGTTATAAGGGTGAGCCGCTATTGAAAATCATCCGGTATGACAGTAAACGTTTTTATTGAAAGAGATAAAGGTATGCAGAGTTATACACTATTCCAATATATATATATATATATATATATATATATATATATATATATATATATATATATATATATATATATACTCTTTCTCTACTACTATACTATATATATATATATATATATATATATATATATATATATATATATATATACTAACAACTATATATATATATATATATATATATATATATATATATATATATATATATATATATATATATATATATATATTTATTAAATCGACAGTCGAACCCGATACGTTTAAGATAGGCCGTCAGACCCGGGGTATATCGAACAAAAAATGTTCAAGCGATGCTTTCAGGCCCTGATGGTGGACCGTTTAATTTGTCCCATTTATATAAAAAATAGAGGTTTATTCGTTTTTCGCCAGACCCACGACGTTGCCGCTTTAATTCTCAAATATTTATATTAGAATTAGACGAACAGACCTTTGACGCGGTAATTGATCACAGTGCAGAAGTAAAAACGATTTTCTGCTATAGTGAATATTATTGTACTTATTGTTAGTATTAGATATATTCTGTCTTATAAATGCATCTGTACGAAAGCGTTTTATCTGAAATTTCTTTTGTAATAAGCATAATCAAGTTACAATGCATTATCACTTTCGTTTAGTAGATTTTGTAAGTGTTTACTAAGTGATGATGGAACCCCGTTTATTATCTTTATACTTTAAAAGAAAAAAAGTTTAGCTACTTCTACAACGAAATCATAGCATCGAAATAAATTTTTAGATACTCGTACAATTTTTTGACACGACGATCGATTCCGACAAAAAAAATTAGTTACTTCTACAACGATATCGTACCATCGATATAAATATTTAGGTACTCGTACAATTTTTTGACACGACGATCGACTCCGACGACTGTCATTTCTAAGGTAATTTGACGCCGTGTTTTGGAATCATAGGGTATGTGTGTATTTATCATTAACCTTTTTTCTATTTTGTTGTAAAGAATTATTTTAACTTATTTTTTTATTACATACAGATATGAGGGCGGCAATTTAAAAATTTGCACTATGGGCAAGACGGGTAGAAAAAAGATGCTCATTTAGAATATTAAGAAATTCAGACAAAAAATGAAAATTTTCTGCGTCTGATAAAATTCATGTAGCAGTAAAGTAGGAAAAAAGTGTAGGTTTAAAAGCATCAATTTCTGGAAATTCCCTATTTGTAGAGGCTGGGAACCACCTACTTTTCTGGGAACCCCATATTTTCAAGTTAAGATTATTAGAACTGTGATTAAAACAAATCACTATTTTCATTCATATTGCAATCAATGAATAATAAGAATATCATATTATCAAATATTACACTAATTAAATTTTCGAATACAAAGTAAACATAGAAGATAGAACATATTATAGAGATGCAACCATAAAACGTGTTTGTCATATTTACATGGTGTTGGTAGATAGCATCCAGCCGTAAACTGAATATACAACGTATCACTGGAGTGTGTAGCCACAGTTTAAAGAATACGTGTAGCCGTCAAAATTTTTGTTTCACTGAAATTACTATTTTAGATCTCACTGAACGAAATAATGCAATAAAATTAATTATTGTGAAATAACTGAATACTATCATATTTATGATCGAAAAAAAACGGCGTCAGCGATGGCTATGAAATGAAAATTGCTGTCATTTTATATGTAAAATTATATGGTGAATGTCATCGATCGTCATTTCCAAGCCAACTGGACGCCGCTTTTTTTCGATCATACGGTACCTTTTTGTTTAAACTTTTTCCTGTGGGGAGAATATACAAAACGGCCTTATCGTACAGTCACTATCATATATACGATGATCGTAATTACTTTGATGTAATTACTTCGACAATGAAATCATACCACCGAAATAAATCTTAAGTACTCGTACAATTCTTTGACCCGTCGATCGATTTAGATGAAAAAAAACTTTAGGTACTTCTGTATATGTATAACCATATGCGAAAATGTCAAAAATTTACATATTATGATGTCATTCTATTGAGGGTGCATCCACACTATCCTAAAACCGGCGTATCGGCGTAACGGCGTAACGACCTTGAATAGATTTCCAGTAATTCTATTGGCTGAAAAATTCATCTGTCAGAAATGTTATCTGTCAAATTCATCTGTCAAAAATTTCAGCTAATAGAATTACTGGAAATCGATTCAAGGTCATTACGCCGTTACGCCGTTTTTAGGATAGTGTGGATGCACCCTCAAAGTGTAATTTTGTATCGAATAATGTCAAAACACAAATACGACGACTGATTTAAACGAAAAAAATTTAGGTACTACTACAACGAAATCATAGTACCGAAATAAATTTCTAGGTATTTCTACGTACAATTCTTTGATACGACGATCTGTTTTCTGAGACGAAAAGCATTTTTCGTCTACGAAAAGCACTTCTACGTAAATTTCTAGGTACTCGTACAATTTTTGACCCATCGATCGATTTAGATGAAAAAAATCTTTAGGTACTTCTGGTACTTCTACAACGAAACCATAGCATTAAAATACATTTTTAGGTACTCGTACAACTTTTTGATCGATTCCGAGAAAAAAAAATTATGTACGTCTACAACGAAATCATAGCATCGAAATAATTTTTTAGGTACTCGTACAACTTTCTGATCGATTCCGAGATAAAAGAATAGGTACTTCTACAACGAAATCATAGCATCGAGATAAATTTTTAGCTACTCGTACAATTTTTGACCGTCGCGCGTCGCGTCTATCGATTTAGATGAAAAAAATCTTTAAGTACTTCTATAACGAAATAATAACACGAAATAAATTTTTAGGTACTCGTACAATTTTTTGACACGACGATCGATTCTGACAATTGTCATTTCAAAGGTAATTTGACGCCGTTTTTTGGAATCATATATATGCCATGTGTATACTTATCTAATAAGTAAAGTGTATTCATTTAGAATATTAAGAGATTCAGACGAAAAAAATCAAAATAGGTAGTAAGTATTCTTTAAGATTGTTTCTACAAGTTTTATTTAAAAATTGTAACAGAGAACTATTATTATTATAGGGCCCCTCTCGGACCGCTTGGACGAGTCTATTATAAAAAAGATCGAGGGACAGTAGGTAGAAAAAACATGATTTGATTTGTCACGGAAACGTAAAGTTTAATAAAAGTGTTTTGTTGAAATTCTTCGAGTTTTATCATAAAGTTTATGGTTCGACACCCAACAAAATAATTGTAACGAATCCCCGTCACAAAATATAAATAATTTAAAGTCTAATCTGGCGAGTTGAGTTTGGATGAAACTGTAAACAAAATGTTTAAAAGTGTAATGTAATCATTTAAATTTAAATAAAATTCATATAGCAGTAAAGTAGTAAAAAAAGTGTAGGTTTAAAAGCATGAACTTTTGGGAATTCCCTATTTGTATAGTCTGGGAGCCACCTACTTTGCTGGGAAACATACTTTCAAGTTCAATTTATTAGAATTGTGATTAAAAGAAAGCACTATTCTCATTCATATTGCGATTAATGAATATTAATATTTAATATTAATAATATTATACGACCATATATTACTCAAATTAAGTTTTCGAATACATAGTAAGTAAACATAAATAGAAGATAGAACATATTATAGAGATGCAACCATAGAACGTATTTGTTATATTTTTATGGTGTTGGTAGATAGCATCCAACCGTAAACTGAATATACAACGTATTACTGTAGCAATCAACATTTTTGTTACACTAAAATTACTATTTTAGATCTTAGTGAACGTAGTAATGTAATAAAATTAATTATTGTACTGATTAACTACCATATAATCGAAAAAAAAATCAGCGTCAGCGATGGCTATGAAATGAAGGTTGCTGTCATTTTATACTGGGTGCGTCTCAAAAGTGGTCCACCGCTATAACTTTTTTATTTATTTTTTTTGGATAAAAAAAACGAGATTTGGTATGTTAGTATATGACATAAATTGGAATTGATTGACGTATTCAATTGTTTTTGGTCACTTCCAGTTTCACCGGAAACGACTACAACTTTTGATTATTAAATGACACCCCCGGTATGTTTTTACATTATTCGATAGAAAATGACACTCTGAATAGAATAATATATCATAATATGTCAACTTTTGACATTTTTGCTTAAAAAATCTTATTTTAAATTTCTATCTATTATAGAGTGCCATGGATGTGTTAAAAACACTAATTTTTAATCAAGGAGCCTTGGAAAAATAGATTTGATAGTCTAATGATTTTCGTGTCTTGTCCGGGCCCGTTATAAGATATCAAAATCGAATTTTTAATCATATCTCAATTTTTTCAAACGGAACAAAGGTGGCTCGATAGCATATTTGGAAAAAGCATTTTTCTACGAATAATTTGGTACCACAATTTGGTACTCGAGTCAAATTGTCATTATGAACCGCATGTTACAAATAAATCATATGTGAAAATGTCAAAAATTGACATATTATGATATGCCATTCTATTCAGAGTGTGATTTTCTATCGAATAATGTAAAAACATACCGGGGGTGTCATTTAAAAATCAAAAGTTGCAGTCATTTCCGGTGAAACAGGAAGTGACCAAAAACAATTGAATACGTCAATCAATCCTAATTTATGTTATCATTTTAATAACAAAAACATACCAAAACTCGTTTTTTTATCTGACAAAATAAAAAAGTTGTAGGGGTAAGCAACTTTTGAGACGCACCCGGTATACGACGATCGATTTAAATGAAAATAATTTTTAAATACTTCTACAACGAAGTCATAGTATCGAAATAAATTTCTAGGTAATCGTACAATTTTTTGACACGACGATCGATTTAGACGAAAAAATTTTAGGTACTTCTACAGCGAAATCACAGCATCGAAATAAATTTGTAGTTACTCCTACAATTCTTTGACACGACGCGCTGATCGATTTAGATGAAAAAAAATTTAGTTACTTCTACAACGAAATCATAGCATCGAAATAAATTTTTAGGTACTCGTACAATTTTTGACCCGCCGATCGAAATAATTTTGTTTCTAATATTTATTAGCCGAACGACCAGTTCGACAATAAAAGTTTAGTTACTTCTACAAATCCGGTGATGACAGCAATTCAAAAAAAAGATTAGACCGTAAATTATTGATATTTTTAAATGAAACTAGTAGGAATAATTTTAAAAGAATACTTATTTTCATTTTTTTCGTCTGAATTTCTTAATATTCTAATTAGAGTATGAGCATTTGTTTCTACCAAATATAACACGGCTATATCTTCGTTCCTTTAATAGTTTGCTTTACCGTGTTGCCGGTTCTTGGGTCTGAATACATCGATTCAACGTAAATCGGCTTATGCATATACTAATGTCGAAGAAGGTGGCGCCGCCCGTGACAATACCGGTGTGCCCTCAATCGTATATAAAAACATAAAACCATTTTTCAGGCCCAGCTGAAATTTGGTCGGGGAAGTGGGGAAACCGTTCTGTAGACGATAACCACTGAAATCATTGCCAGACCCGACCCCGTGTGCAATGGTACTCTTATAGAGCCGAAATATGCTTTATTATCAATGCTATTACCAAATAAAATATTTTGAATTATTTTTGTGAGAGTATTGCAATTTTTTTAAATAATAATATAATTTATTAAATAATAATATAATTTATTAAATAAAAGCATACGAGGTCCTGCCTTAGTGACCCTCAGAAAATCTCATTTACTAACTGAAAAAAAATAAAAAGTTATAAGGGTGAGCCGCTATTGAAAATCATCCGGTATGACAGTAAAGCCCGTTTTTATTGAAAGAGATAAGGTATGCAGAGTTATACTATATCTAATATATATATATATATATATATATATATATATATATATATATATATATATATATATATATATATATATATATATATATATATATATATATATATATATATATATATATATATATATATATATATATATATATATATATATATATATATATATATATATATATATATATATATATATATATATATATATATATATATATATATATATATATATATATATATATATATATATATATATATATATCTATACATATATTGCTGTATATCAAGTTCTCTATTGACACCTTCGCTTCTTTTAAATACTTTTAAAACACGCAACCAATTAAACGTAATAGGCACCCCATCCTACCGGTCCACTTTCAGTATTAAAAATAAAGCGAAACAATGATATAAACATAAGAAACCAAAAATTTATATATAAAACACCTTCTTCTTGATATATTGACAAATTGGCGAATGCGCGCAATAAAGCAAAATATATAAAAATGTCATATAATAGATTCTTACTTCTACAGATTCAATATGAGGACTTGGAGGTTGAACCATATCATCATCCGCATTCTTACGTCTGTGGTGGTTCTTCTTAGTTTTCTTTCTAGGCGACTTTTCATGCTGAACCAACGAATAACACAGGTCATCGAAGGAACAGTTGACTCGTCCAAAACATTCCTTTATAACATCATAAACCTACCAAATAAATCCAAATTTGATTGATCGAACGAAGAAAATACGTGACTGTTCATTTACTTGAATAAGACAATATGCATCTAGGCCTGCATAATAAATTTGAGTATCGCGCAATGGTCTTTTCTCCCAATTCGAAAATTGCTCGGATTTGTCCAAGTCGTGCCCCAAAGAGAGGCAGACCAAAGTTGTCAAACTTAAACCACCGCTTTTCACTGAAAAAAACCCATAAGTAATGTAAAAATTAATATGGAACAAATAGAATAATTGGCAATGGAACAATTAAAGCAATGAGTTCAAGTACGGACGAAAGCATATTTTTTGTGCTCTTCTAACAGAGGAAGAGGAAGAGTGGGTGAGGAAAAGTTTGGACTCATACGATTAACAAAAAAAGAAAGAAGTTTGGAGAATTTTATCATTTTTTTCTAGATTTAATAAAAGACAAAATAATGTTTTTCAGTATTACAAAATATAAAGGAAACATTTTACGCACTCCTCAATTGAGGGTTTTAGAAGAAAAAACACCGGGTATATCTACTCATCATATTTTTTCAGAAGAGACAAATTACTAATACTTTTGATAATTCTTATTTATTCTGATGTGTATATTAGTTATGAGGTCAAAAAAACCCTGATCTTTTTTATATATTACATTCCACGTAGTAAATCATCCACTGTACAAATTTGTATGCCACCTAAAAAGGAATAGATGGCACCATAGTTAATACCTCACCGATATATCTTTGCCTTCTTCAATTCCTTTCATAAAAGGTACAAAATGATTTCAAAAAGGGTGTTTGTCCAGGGCCATGGTACAAAGAAAACAAGGTATGATCGATAGCGGCTCCAATTTCGTTAAGTTTGCGCATACCACCTGTGACGTCATAAGCCACACAAAAAATATTCATATTGTCCAAATACGTTTAAAATAAAGTATACGGAGGGTACCGCTTAAATTCCTGTCCCGATATTGAAGGATGGCTATAGAATTTCAATGCATTTCCTACATAGTCTATCCTTGGTTTGTAAGAGGTTTGACTAAACAAGGATGAACCTATGTCTTGAACATTCGACTCGATTTTCTGTCCTCCTTCAATACTGGGACGTAAATCCTCTCATTGCTCTTATGGGGAGGCCGTCGTATATTTTATTTAAACGTATTTGATATTGTCCAATTGCCACTAATAAAAAAAGACCTAAAATAGGGAAGAATTAGGACATAACCCCAAAAGTTATGTCAATTCATCGAGCTTGACACTTGAAAAATTATTTTCACATTTATTATGTCATCTGTTTGACAATTTGAAATTGGCGCGCAGAGCTTGCCGACCAATGGTGTCGTTTATCACCTGTGACGTAGTGACCAACCTGCGCAATATCATACCTTGTATTCTTTGTATCATGGTCCAGGGCCATGATACAAAGAATACAAGGTATGATATTGCGCAGGTTGGTCACTACGTCACAGGTCATGGCTGAGAAACTTAAATGGAAATGACGGTTCATTAAAAATAGTTTTTCCTCCAAGATGCAGAGGCGCAAAATATTAAAACTGTCAATATTAACAATGCAAATGTCAATATCTGACAATAATAAATTTGATTTTTAACTGTCACTCAGAGACGCTTTTGTTGTGATTTTACGGTTTGATTTCGTTTTGATTTGTCGAATTATTGTAAAATTAAATTCCTTCAGATTTTTTGCCAGTATTCTGTTTTAGACAATTTGTTTTTTAAAAATGGAGGGACAATTTGTGTTTTGTATAGACTCTTAATTATTTTTTATCATGGAGTTTAATTGTTGTACACCTGGTTTCCGAAGGATACAATGGTAAGTAAATTAAACATATCTATTTACAGTAATAGATTTTTTAAATTAGTACTGCGAATAAATGCTACTTGCTGAGCAGTTATTTAATTTTTTTACGGTGCATGTAAGGAATTAAGGACGCGCGTTGCGTTATATTAGCATGATCAACAGATGACTACATCTAATTTAATTTGTTTTTATTATTTCAGGTCTCAAACGGAAACAAACTGGGAATCTCGCCTATACCAAAATTATATAGCTCTTTCTAATTCACTTCAAAGGGAGGAAAATTATGTAAAACTGCCTGCTATTTGCTGAAAATTGCCAAAGATTAAATTATAACTGTAACAACTTAATATATACTATTTTTAGTCTTTTTAATATTTTTTTTTTAATTAATATCCGACATATAAGAACACTTTGTATGCTTTTAATTAAGTTGATTTATCGTTTATAATATGTTTATCGTTTATAATATGTATGTTATGTATCGACCTAATTAAAAGCACACAAAGTGTTCTTACATGTATGTCTAAATTTATTTTAAATTAACTAAAACAACCCCCCTTCCCCGCACCCCTCTCTTCCATTAGTATTTCTTCCTCCGACTACCAGAGGCGCCCTTGTATAATAAAATTGAAATGTATTATAAGTTGCCTATCTATTTAATAGTATAAGTCTTTTATCTATGGTCACAGGTGATAAACGGCACCATTGGTCGGCAAGTTCCGCGCGCCAATTTCAAATTGTCAAACAGATGACACAATAAATGTCAAAATAATTTTTCAAATGTCAAGCACGATGATTTGACATAACTTTTAGGCATGATACAAAGAATACAAGGTATGATATTGCGCAGGTTGGTCACTACGTCACAGGTGATAAACGGCACCATTGGTCGGCAAGCTCCGCGCCCCAGTTTCAAATTGTCAAACAGATGACATAATAAATGATGAATAAATGTGAAAATATTTTTTCAAATGTCAAGTTCGATGATTTGACATAACTTTTGGGGTTATGTCCTAATTCTTCCCTATTTTAGGTCTTTTTTTATTAGTGGCAATTGGAGAATATGAATATTTTTTTGTATGGCGTATGACGTCACAGGTGGTATGCGCAAACTTAACGAAATTGGAGCCGCTATCGATCATACCTTGTTTTCTTTGTACCATGGCTTTTAGGGTTATGTCCCATGGTACAAAGAATACAAGGTATGATATTGCGCAGGTTGGTCGCTACGTCACAGGTGATAACAGGCGCTATTGGTCAGCACGCTCCGCGCGCCAGTTCAAATCGTCAAGATATTGTTATAAACCTGTTTTTTTTTGTTTATATACCGTCATTGAATTATCGCTAAGCAAGTTACTGTGGAGCAGTGCATAAGGAGTCGGGGGTGCGACTTTGTTCAAGTTAGCAACCGATCGTTTAGAAGCGATGTCGAAACCAGATCGGTACTATGTTCATTGCAAAACTAGTGTCGCTCAAATGCTGCAAAATATGGTATCACTATCACACTCTTGCACACGTGTCTAGACTGTCGCCTCGCCACAAAGCGAGAAATCAGAATATCGCTACAAATCGATGTTGCTACTGAACATAGTGCATCAAGCTACAAATTACTTTGCTATCGCTTTGAAACATGAACAAAGTTGCACCCCGGGCTAGGAAGCGAGTGACCGGAGTTGGAATCTCGGCCGGAACATCACTTTCTATTTATTTTTTTAAATACTGTTGTATTCTATAGTTTATTTTTGTAGTATAAAAAAAAAGAACTATTTATTCTGTTATTTTTTAATCTCCGTTATTAATATAAATTGATTGTTAGTACAATACCTCATTTAATATAAAATAATATTCTACTTTTGAAATGTATCAGGCCCTAATTGTACCTAAAAGTAATATATTTTTAGTGATATACCATATTGTAAACTATTTAATATTTCAGTCACTTAAAAGTTAGGTAAGTTAATTTGCATTGAATAATTGCCTACCATTAAAAAGGAAATTTGAGCTATATAACCCTTGATAGGCATATTCTGGGTATGCAAATATTTCCTTTAAATTTTGGGTGTCGTTCAACCGATTTATTCTCAAAACAGAAAACATCTACATATAAAAAGCACAGGTCACTAATTATAATAAACTTCACCCTTGGTATTACTTCCACTAATTATAATAAACTTCACCCTTGGAATTACTTCTATCACAATTACAATACATTCATCTGCATTGGCATTTTCTACTTTTCGATGGGAAACAATAAACTATCCAACATTTTTTAAATGATCTAACAATTCCTCTTGTGGTTACTTTTCCATAGATATCCTCATCTCTGTCCTCATGTGAATTCAGAGGCAATAAAAATGAAAATTATTTACCATAAACATCGCAAACTAAAAACCTAATAAACAATTTTATACCGAATATAGAAATAAATTTACTATTTTTACCTATTATCGTCCAAATCCATGTTAATAGATAATTATTATTTTTAAATATATTTTTGGAACTGCTGGTTTTAGTAATTATCAAATTAAACGAACTAAAAAGTCTTAAAAATAAACAATTCTTAACCATAACCCCAAAAAATGCAGATCTCCTGTCAACTTTCTTTATTTTTTATTTATTACTCATTTTCCTAGTGACGTCACAGGTGGTATGCGCGAACTGAACGAAATTGGAGCCGCTATCGATCATACCTTGTATTCTTTGTACCATGGGACATAACCATACCACCTGTGACGTCACTAGGAAAATGAGGAATAAATAAATAAAAATAAAATTGATTAGAAGACAGGGAGTTATGGTGTTTATTTACACAAGAACTTTTAATTCGTTTAATTTAATAATTACTAAACCAGCAGTTCTAAAAAAATATATTTAAACATAATAATTATCTATTAACTTTATGGATTTGAACTTTGAACCATAATGGGTAAGAATGCTAAATTTATTTCTATATTCGTACCTATAAAACTGTTTATTAGGTTTTTTAGTTTGCGATGTTTATAGTAAATAATTTTCATGTTGATTGCCTCTGATTTCCACATGAGGACAGAGATGAGGATATATATGGAAAAGTAACTCAGAAAAGAATGTTACATCATTAAATGTTGAGAAGGCTATTGTTCCCATCGAAATAGAAAATGCCAATGCAAATAAAAATATTGTAATTGTGATAAGCAATTCAAGGGTGAAGTTTATGATGTAATGGAGAAAATTCAGGGTGAAGTTTATTATCCTGTAGTGATCTGTGCTTCTTTGCTAATCAGATGACTCAGGGAACGAAATCAAATGGTTGAACGAAAACCAAATTTAGAGGAAGTATTTGCATGCCAGATGCCCATCAAGGCCATAGCTCAGAATTTCCTTTAATGTAGGCAATTATTCAATGCAAATTAACTTT